TGTGATAATTCTTTGTTCATCCACAAAACTTTTAATTCTATTACTATTCTTCTAGTATATGTGGATGACATTCTTCTTACTAGTAGTAATCCCTCTCATCTTCAAACTCTTATTCACCATATGCATTCAACTTTTTCCATGGTGATATTTCCTATTTTTTGGGAATTTCAATTCAATCTCTTGGGGATTCTTATTTCTTATCTCAACAGAAGTATGCCTCTGATATTCTTGTCAAAGCAGGCATGACTTCTTGTAAATCTTGTTCTATACCTAGCTCCATGAAACCTCCTCTCAATCCTGTTACTTCTCTTCCTTTTGCTCAACCTCAGTTATATCGCAGCTTAGTTGGAGCATTGCAATATCTTACTATTACTCATCCAGATCTTTCCTTAGCTGTTAATCAAGCATGTCAATACATGCATGCTCCTACAAATGGTCACTTTGCTTTGGTCAAACGAATTCTTTGGTTTGTTAAGGGCTCTCTCTCTCATGGGTTGGTTTTTCATCCTAGTTCTTTCACCTTGCAAGCCTTCTCTGATGCTAACTAAGCTGGGGATCTCATGGATTGCAAATCTACTTCAGGTTATTATGTCTATCTTGGTTCAAATATCATCTCTTGGTCTACAAAGAAACAACCAACTGTTTCTCGATCAAGTACTGAGGCTGAATACCAATCACTTGCTCAGGCTACTGCTGAATTGAGCTGGTTACAGATGCTTCTTCATGATTTTTCCATTCCTACTACCTGTCCTCCTATTCTTTGGTGTGACAACTTATTAGCAATTGCACTTGCTTCTAATCCAGTGTTTCACACATGTTCCAAACATATTGAGGTGAACTGTCACTTTATCCGTGAAAAGGTTGCTGGGAAACACCTTGTTTTCAAATACATTCCCTCTGTTGCTCAGGTTGCTGACACCTTTACTAAGCCTCTGTTAGCCTCTCGGTTTCAGTTTCTTCAGTCCAAGCTTATGATCTGTTCTTCTCCCATAAGCTTGAAGGGGGCGGTTAAGGATATCAAGATTGAAGAACCTTCTAGTTCATCAGATGCAATCACAGCTGCAAGCTCAGCTGTAGCTCATGCCAGTTCGGCTTCAGCATCACTAACAGATCATATTCAGCATCAGCCCAAGATTCATTAGCTCAAGCCACACTGACAGTTACACCTTTCAACTATTTTTGTAACTGATGGTGATTAGTTACAAGTAGTTAGAATCTATTGTCAGTTAGATATCTCTTGTATAAATATACTCTGTATCACAGATATTTTCTAATGAGAATTGAATTCAATTTTTCTTCACTATCCACTGAAAGTCACCCCCTCCACAAATCAATCTTAATGCCAAGTTACCTTTTCCAACTTCTTCAAAAATCAACCAGAAAATAAATAAAAAATAAAAAGAGAGAAAGAGAAGCATTTGATTTTCGATTTTTTTTTTTTTGATGGTCGAATTACTCCATTAGTCTTGAAATTTCAGCTTATACCTTTCAATGCTTTATTTTTTATTTTATCTTTCACCATATGTAACATCATTGTTAATCTAATAATGGCATGAGCAAAATTTATTTTTCGTCTTTATGCATATTTTGTTTTAAAGTGAATGATCAACGTAAAGCTACATCATCATATATAAAAAATTTATATAATTTTCTGTTTATATATCATTACTCTATCTATAAAATCATTCACCAATCTCTATATATAGTGCAGCAAAACAAAAGCAATTCCTATTGTTTGAGTCTGTCAAAATCCTTAAAAGATCACACAAAACCATGATACATCAATACGAGTCGAGCACCATCGAATCTAAAGGGCACAATTTATGAGATGCAAACTATGGTTGCTTTTATTTATTTATTTATTTTTGTTTGTTGATCTGCCAAAGAGAATTTATTGATGGTGCATAGTGGTGTTGATGAAGACGCAACTATAAAAAAAAATAGATTTTAAAAAACAAATTCAGTGGGTGGTTGGTGACATTTATTTGCATGCAACCTATTTTCAATTGCAAAAGCACAATCCGCCATGATTTCATTTTTCTTGTCAATCCCTCATCTTCATCATCATCATATATATATTACAAAACTAAAGCCTAGCCAGTCAGATGTCCGACAGATGCAGCCAGGGCAAACTCAATTTCAACTAGTTGCCAAGTTTCTTATTATGTACCCAAAATAAGACCTAGTCAATCCCCTCCTCTTCAATAATAGCACATTGTACATATTCAATGTTTCTTGCCTTCATGCACAACAAATATAGATAGTGGGAACCCACATCCAGTTATTGAAGGAATATAAGGGAAAAATTTTGTGTTTAAAAATATAAGAATTGTTAGAGGGAGGAAGCTTCAAACACCTATTATACATACATACCACTAGAAATATGATTTTTTGCCTCTATTTTTTTACGACTGATTGTTTGATCGTTGTAAAAAAAAGTACTTTTTATATCAAAATCTCGTTCTAATTAACACCCAATTGTGTTCTTTAAAATATATATATATATATATCCAAATCGTGTAGGCATTACTCTTATTTCCCAAATCTGTCTCCAACGGCATGAACGGCATGAACTCTCTCTCTCTCTCTCTCTCTCTCTCTCTCAAAATTTCACTCGCCGCTCTCTCTCGCTCTACTCTCTCTTTCAACACACCACTCTCAATTTTATTGTTCATCTAAAAATTTCGATCAATTGTTGATGAATATTTGAAGATTTTGATTGATTGTTGCTGAAGATTTGAAGATTTCGATTGATTCATAATCGGTAAGCCTAATTTATATGTATAAATCCAAATCTGTCTCTATAATCCCTATATCTTTCTTTCAACTCCCAAATTCTATTCCACTTATCATGAAGATCAATATCAGTTCAGAGGAAGTGGATTTCGAAGATCAACATGAATTTTTTCCAATTTAATTTATTTTTATCAATGCGGTGTAAACTCTGATTTGGAAACAGGTTTTTGATTTGAAGATTCATTTTATTTTTTTAATAATCAAATCTTGATTTGTTTTGGCTTTTAAACTTGATATGAACATTTCTCTAGATTGTTTGCTAAATTTTGTGTAGTTTTTGAACCTCTTACAATCCACTCATTTGTGGACATCGCTTTTCTCAGTCTTTCTTTTCCTGATCTCTGAGTTGTTCTTCCATTTGATTTATTCTTCTCTTCTCTTCTATCTTTGTGTGTTTGGTTGCTGAGAATTGATTAAATTAAAACAAATAGTGCTTTTTTTGTGTTTTCTATATGGTTTATTGTACTAGTAATGATTTGAATTAGACTTGATTTTGATTTTGTTAAGATGGACCCTCCTGATTTTGGAATTTATTTATTTTCTTCAGATGTCAAGCTCTTATAGGAGGATCCATGGTTTGTTTTGGAAAAATTAGTTTGAGGAAAGTGAAGGTGAAATTTACTTGCTTAGCAGTTTTAGTTCATATTCAACCCAAATATGATTGAGTCTGCAAAATCATAAGTTCACAAGTAAATATTGTATTTCTTATTTTTCATGTACCTATTTTTTGTAGGTATTCTTAGTGAAATATATTTGACATGTAATTTAAGAACCTAAACACGCCTTATTTTTCATATCATGTTGATCGTTTTTGCAATAACATCTATTTAATTCTTTCTCCAGCTACAAACATCATAATGTTTTAATCCTTTCTTCTTTTTTCTCCTGCTATAATGGACTCATTATGCATTTTGGATGTGTGTATGGACTGTCTAGTAGATACTTCTTCTTAAACCTTTACACAAAAATGTTATTGTATCATGTTGTGCGTTGCTTCTGAATGAATCATGTAAGTTGCTGATATAGAGAATTTTGTAATGTCACTACAAGAATTTACACATTTGCCGACCACTTTTGCCGACCAAAAAAATTTTGGTCGCAAAAAAAGGGCATTTGCCGACCAAAATATTAATTAGTCACGAATGATCATTATGTTTGGCGACCAAAATGAGTTGGTCGCAGAAGGTCACATTTTGGCGACCAAAAATGAGTTAGTCGCAGAAATTGGTATGCTTTTGGTGACCAACTTCAAATTTGGTCATGGAAGGTTACATTTTGGCGACCAAAAAAAATTAGTCGCCAAATTAGTACTTTTAGCGACTAATATTTTAGTTGCCGTTGATTGAGATTTGGCGACTAAAAAAGTTTGTTGGCGAAGGTACTTTTTTTGCGACTAATATGGTGTTTTGGTCGCCAAAAGTTGGGGAGGGAAATTTGAAACATGGAGGGGGGAAATGAAATATTTTGGTGACAAAAAAAATTTGGTCGCCAATTACAAAACGACGTCGTTTTGTACCAGGAAAACAGAAAAAAAATTAAAAAAAGGCCCTGATCTCCTCTCTGTCTCCAACTCGCTCTCTATGTAGTATGTTCATCCGCCCTCCCCCTCTCTCTATGTTCTCTCTCTCAATCGGTGCCCACTCTCTCTAGCTCACAGATGTCCCTTACCACCATTGCGAACGTCCGTCGCACTTCGCCATCACCATCGCCCTCGCCCTCTGTCTAATGGACTCCTTATTTCTGGGGGATCCTCACCCAATCTCACCTCATCGCTGACCAGCGTCGTACGCCACTACTAGCGCCGCCGCCGCATCCTCACAGGTTCTCTCTCACTCTCGGTCTGTCTCTCGCTCTCTGTTTCTCGCTCTCTCTCTCTAGCATTTGCCCTCGGTCTCTCTCTGTCTCTCTCTATATATATATATATAATGCGGTGAGAGGGAAATTTGATTGCATTTTTGGTCCATTTTTTATGGAGTTCTTTTGGGTTTGTCATCTTATTCACTGCTCTTAGGTTTCTGGTATTGATAATCTCTTTTGTGTTTCGATGTTTTTCGAGATTTAGGTTCAATACAGCTTGGTACGTACGAGTGAAAAAGAGACTGACAATCTAATTCGAGACAATCCCTTAAAAATTTTGATATAGTTTATCAAAATTGTGAATCCTAATTCGACTCTAAATCAATCATATGTCTATATATATGTATTTAGGTTGCTAATTGGTGGGTATAGTGGTTTTGGTATAAAAGGCAGGGCAGGAGTGAGTTCTTAGATCGCTCAAGCAAAAATGATGTGAATTAATATTTGGTGTTGTGAGCCCCACGAGCATCATTAGAGCAATATTCAAAGCTGAAGAAGAAAGATGTGAAGTGATTGATGCCCTCCCTATTCATGAAAACAATATGTTACAACATGTTGCAAACTTGTTGTGAGGTATGGTGGATCTTTGATTGGAATTTTATTTATGCTTGATTCAACACACTAAGATTTCATTTTGGTGCTTTCATTGCCAGTGTGTTTGATTTCTTTTAACTCTTGATAATATAATTGTTTTTTACACACATCTCAATTTTTTGTTTCATGGTTTGTTTGTTGCTTGTTTTTTTTTCCATTTGGGGCTTCTTGATTCAGTTCACTTTCACTCAGTTCTTCAAAGATAGTGAGTGTTCAGGATAATATTTCTATGCTACAAATAAGTCCACCATTCCCAACCGTTACAGGATAATGATATATATTTCTATTGTACAATTCAAGATGTTTAGATTTTTTTTTTCAATCCAGAGGAGGAAAGAAAATGAACAAATGGATTTTATTTCATTCCCACAACTCACAATTATACTTCACATTGTCTATGCATCATATACTTAGATATTGATTACAAAGCAACTAAATTAATGGCTATATTTTTTAATTATGCAGGTGTGTAATTGGCTCTTCGCATTTATTATGTAAATGTTGGTAATTATGTCTTCTCTGCATGTATGTATGTTAGTAATTATACAAGCGTGTTCAATTGTTTTTGAATCTGAATCAAATCTTTTCAGCTGAATGAGTCGGCTAGGATAGACTTGGATATGGCGAAGGTTCTATATACTTGAGTGATAAATTTTTGTTAAGGCACACAATTGAGATGAGTTGGTCATATTTAATTGTTTACGCCACAGATGAGGAGTTCTAAGGAACATCCTGTTTACAATTTAATCTCTTGTTGGTTAACTGTATATATGGAATTTTCTCATGTTTTGTAGCGCAGGTTTGACAGATTTCAAATCCATCATGTTCTTTTTAAGAGGTTTGAAGAGGTTTGACAAATTGATTGTATATATGGAGTTCTTTTGGGTTTTTTCTTAAGCTTATGAGTTAAGGTGGTATCTTCAAATTGAAATCCAAAACCCACATGGGAATCTCTGATTGGTGGATTGGGAATTTGATCTTTTATTCGATACTGAGCTCTTGAGGAATTGATGATGACTGCAGTATGCTGAATTTGCATTCTGACAAGTGACAACACTGGTCAAGGAATTGATCGCTTTTGGTTCTGACTTCGGGTTGTCTTGTTTAGGATCATTACTTTGCATGAACAGAATTGGTAGAAATTTTAATTAGCATAGAATAGATAACAGTGCCTAGAGGCTGAAATACTAGTACTTTACTACTTTAGTGTGATTTCGCCGTGATGAGGAGTGGAGTGAGTTGTTCATTATAATTATCATTTTTAGTATTATCTTCAGAGGGCATAAATTGCCTATCTTACCAGTGTTTAAACCATCATGTTTGTTTCTTGAAATCTAGAATTTGAAAAGCTATATAGGGGAATTAGACAAGTGCTAAATGCATATATCTTGCCACAATTATCTATATACATGTTTGATGGTCTATATTTTCATGTATGCTTGTATCAACCAATACAAAGGTTCACTAAGCAATTATGCTTGTAGACACTTGTTATGATTGAGGTTGAATTCTTTTAAATTTTGAAATTGGGTTGATTATGTAGTGATATGGTAAATGTAGAGTAAAACTAGGAAAGAAGGCTTGAAGCTAAAAACAGAGTTCAATGCTCAATTCTTGGAAGAATGAAACAAATTGAGTGTCTTATCATTCCTAAGATTAGTGTCATCTTTCCAGGTATCAATTGTCACTCATTCTTATTGCTATAGCCTATATGTTGATATTATAAACATGATTCTAAAATGTGTACTGAATTAAATTTCAAATTCACATGAAACTAACAAACTGAGAAGGCAACACAAACACAACCTGATTATCAAAAACTATATTGATGATGATGCTTACCAAACATTAATTATGTGCAGTCACAGCTAATGATGAAAGCTGTCACGGCTCTCCATGAAAAGGTATGTCGTCTTTAATAATTCTTCTCCCAATTTTACAACAAAAGAGAAAATTACATCTTTGTAAGAATTCCCTTCATTCTGCATTTGATCATAAGCACATGTTCAAGATCACCTCATTTTTTTTTAATTAAATTTTCTTTAATTAAAAAAAA